GAATGCAACGCTAATGAGACAGGTCTTCGCTTTTGATCTATCCTGGCACAGTGAGTGCTGGGTCATTGTGGTGGTTTTAGCAACACAATGACCAAAATGTTTGACAACATGTGTCTAAATTGCCTTGTGGGGCTTTAAATCTACGTATAACCATCTGTGTCTGCTGGGTGGGGTTTTTGATATTTACCAAAAGTCAAATTACCTGCTATTCCCCAGGATGGAGGCAAGGTTTTGATTACAATTATTGACTATTGCATTATAGTCCAACCTAAATACTATGATTCTCCACCTATATAAATCTATTCTCAACAAAGAAGTGTCAACTTCCTCACAACAAATGATTTTAATTTTTGGTTTTTATACACAAAATTGAGCTTGAAATATATTATGCCATATCTGAGATTAATATTGGAAATATGAGTATCTGCAACTTATTTGTTATAAATTATTGATCATAGACTATATCACTATAAACTAATTATGTTGACAATATACCTCAAATGAAAGAATCCAAAGTCATAAGCAGTCAGGATCATCTCTTGCTACCGGCCGACGCTTCATAAAACTCCCTATGTACACATAGGGACTTTGATCACCTAGAATACTGTGTTATGTTTCACGTCGCCATACCCGCCCTCTTCAAACATTAGTGCAGAATTGGGCTCTCACCATATATATAGATATACAGGGGTTACCCACCGCTGTACTGCACTAGGTGGTGACTTCAGATAATCGATTAAGATTATGTATATATAATTTGTTGTATCAATCACTCTTCATGTCACACGCTGATCTTACCACGTTACTCCGGCTCGGCCGGCTAGGTATTCAACACACGTATGTCCTCAACGTAATTACATAATTTAAACTTCTAGTCACTTATTTAATGTATAGCCACTAGCATGATACAAACATACACATCACTTAACTAGAACTATCACTAAATGTGATTAATACCCCACACCGACTCGCTTCGGAAATGAGGATGTTACTAGTACACAGAATATCTTTGTAGAAAGAATTGAAATAATAGAGTTATCGGTTGTGGGCAATTAAAGATAGTTGTGGTTAATATGTATATATTGCATTTCCTTTCAATGTGGTTGGCCATTGATGAAGTTTTATTGAATTACTCTGTAATAAGTCGCAGAAAAGACAAAGAAAAGGAACAAAGGGAATAACTCTATAAATACTGATAGACGATGGAGTTATAGTTTCTTGTAGTGCACTGCACTTCCTCTTTTTGTGCTTGACCATTGTACTGAAGTTGTTTTGAATTTCAACCAGTACGTTTTAAGTTATGCATCCCAGACAAGGACAAAAGTATCAAAGGGCAGTAAACTCTGTATTTTGTCCAAGATAGAAGTTATGGTTCTTGTGCACTGCACTTCCTCTCAATGTGCTTGACCATTGTATGTAGTTATATTGAATTCCAACCATTAGTCTTCAAGTTATGGTCCGGAACAAAAGAAAGCAATGGAAAAGTAACAAAGGGCAATAACTCTTTAATTATTTTAGATAGAGTTATGGTTCTTGTGCACTGCACTTCCCCTTATTGTGTTTGACAATTGTATGAAGTTGTTTTGAATTCAACCAGTAGTGTTCAAGTTATGCCCCGGACAAGGAAAAGTAACAAAGGGCAGTAACTCTGTAATTAGTCAAGATAGAGTTATGGTTCTTGTGCACTGCACTTCCTCTCAATGTGCTTGACCATTGTATGTAGTTTATATTGGAATTCCAACCATTAGTCTTCAAGTTATGGTCCGGACAAAAAGAAAGCCAATGGTCAAAAGTAACAAAGGGAAATAATCTGTAATTACTTTAGATCAGAGTTATGGTTCTTGTGCACTGCACCTTCCCTTATTGTGTTACTTGACAATCTGTATGGATAATAGGATATATTGAATTCCAACGCAATGTAGTTTTTTTCAACGTTATGCCCGGACAAGAAAACGCTAACCAAGGGCATAACTCTGTAATCTAGCTCAAGATACCGAGTTCATGGGTTCTTAGATAGTATGCACTTCCTCTCAATGGCTTGACATTGTAAGTCGGTTATAATTGAATTCCAACGCATTAGTCTTTCAAGTTTGGTCCGGACAAGGAAAATGCAACGGACGTCTGGACCGACCGACCGACCAACCGACCACCGGGTGACTCCTATATACCCCCCCAAACTTCGTTTTTGGGGGTATAACAACAAGCGTTATACAGTATGTATACTATCGGAATATATGGGAACATAGTAATTGTCAGCTTTTTACGGTATATATGGGAACATAGTACAGCTTTATCAAACATTATATTAAACACCATCCACAACAAAAACAGGCATCACTCATAGTACAGACAAGTGCTATTGGTCAATTACTGGACAGGCATTTGACATAGTTTTCATAAAATATAATTATAAAGATTTTTACAGTTTATATTATGACTAAGTATTAAAATTTGTTAGTTTATATAACCCAAGCTGGCAAGCAAAGGTTATTGCAAACAGCCATTTATACTATTAGTTATAGAGATTTTTTGACTGGTTATTTGGCTTTATATAAACAGTTGTTAAATGGAAATATATATAACCATAGTGCCTAGTATAGTGAGGGTTATATTGTAAACAACCATTTATATGGCCATATAACCTGTCAGGAATAATTATAACAAGTTTATAATACAGAAAACTTACCCTTTTTTTTTAGAAAAAAGTGAGATTTCTGCATTAATTAACAGTAGCCATGTATACAAAACTATATATAAATGTCACTATAATTAATTTATTGGATGAAAAGCAATCCATGTTGCAAACATATTAGGTATAAAGATTTAAACAGTTTAAATGACCCTATGTAAATGGCTAACAAGGGTTATTTTGTATATATTGCAAACAACTGTTTATATATGGCCAAGAATCTTTATAACTGATTTGTAATACAGCAAACTTCCTTTATTAAAGATAACTAGAACTCCGTGAGTCGGATGTGTCGCAATGTGAACAATATAATTTAGGAGAAATGGCCAGGACAAAAGGGCAATAACTCAAAAAAAGAAGAAGTGCAGAGCAGCAGTTTCTGTGCACTGCACTTCATATCAATAAGATCTATCATCCTATGAAGTTTCAAGTCTATAGCTTTTATAATTTAGGAGAAATGGTCTGGACAAAAATAAAGTATGAAAATTAACAAAGGGCAATAACTCAAAAAATAAGAAGTGCAGAGTACTGGTTCTTGTGCACTGCACTTCTTTTAATAAGATTTATCATCCTATGAAGTTTCAAGTACATAGCTTTTATACTTTAGGAGAAATGGCCCAGACAAAAATTAAGTATGAAAATTAACAAAGGGCAATAACTCAAAAAATAAGAAATGCAGAGTACCGATTCTCATGCACTGCACTTCAGGTCATTATAAAAAGCATGCATACCAAGTTTGAAGTCAATCCAACTTGTAATGACTGACTTATGCTCCGGACAAGCTCAAGGGGACGCTGACACCGACAACGCTCCCGCCGACGCCGCCGACAAAAGTAACCCCTATATGTCGCCTTTTTGAAGGCAGCACAAAAATGAAATTACTTCATAAACAGACAGCAGCTTTGTATACAGTTTATATAAACATCAAGATTAATTAAATGAAAAGCAATGTTACAAAATGTGCAATCATCCAATGAAAATGAACATTACAAATGTGCAGTATTTATCAGTTGTATCATCCAATGAAAATGAACATTACAAATGTGCAGTATTTATCAGTTGTATCATCCAATGAAAATGAACATTACAAATGTGCAGTATTTATCAGTTGTATATGTATTATAATATTACATAATATATATCAGTGTACTCAAACCCTCATTTTGCACTACTTGAAGCATCTACTTTACTACAATTGGAAAATGAAATTTGAGAAGATCGACTTTGCATCAAATAAATGATGGCCTTTGTAAGGAAGAAAGTAAAAAAAAAAAAAAAATAGAAATAAATATTTAGCTATGTTAATTAGGATAATACATTTATTTTCTGGCCCAAAATATTTTATGGTCAACCACTGATCACCAATAAAGACATTCAATTAAATGGGACACAGTTTCAGATAAAAATGTTTTATAGTAAAATACAAGCAAATGATAATTGATAACCATTAATCTTTGGCCTGCAGTAGGCAGCAGATTCTATCGATGCAACCATTACACAATGCAGACCAAAATCAGCCAACATCTTTGTGCCGTTAACACTGTTTACTTTTCAGCCAGTATAAAACATTTTTATTTTTTTTCCTACAAATGATAAAATTTGTAATGTTTTGTTTTACAGATTGAAAGATGGACAAGTGACTGTCCCTTTAAGTTGTTTATTGTGGTTTAGAATTAACAGAGTTTACAATACTGGAATTTGCTCAGCAACTTTTTCAAGCCTATTTCTGCTTACTTTTGTAAGATGTGAACACTATGCCAACATGACTGTTAAAAAAATACAATTTTATTGTTCAAAGACAGAATTATACAGATCACAAGTTCAACACTTTAATTGTCCAAGTATTACAAGTTACCATGAACAAAATGTTCCTAATATTCTAGAAAAAAAAAAAAACATTTATGAGAAGTAAAAAAAACAAATACTTCACAGATCTTTGAATAATTTAGAGATTTGATTTTGCTCAATTCTTAACATTAATCAGCTGTTTTTTATTCATTTAGAAAATCTGAAACATTTGTTCAACACAATGCAGTTTGCATAGCTCTTATTGAAAGACAGTTTCTGCATGGAATTTGAAAAAATTACAGTTTTAAAATCTTTTCAACTTGTATAAAGCATTCTAACTCAGCCAATAGCTAAGAATATTATGTTTTTATTTGGCCTAGCCATTTTTCCTTACATTTGAAATTTGTCATTTATTAAGAGTAGCTCTATGTAAATCATCATAACAGAGAAATCAAGAAGGAATGAAGCCAGATAATATTTCACACATCAAATAAAACAGAAAGCAACACAAAAAGAGACTTACGTTTTTACTACTACTATTGCCAGAAGGTTTACTGGTGATATTTGCAGAGAGATTTTTATTTGTGAAATGCTGTGAAGTCATGTATGGTGCCAGATCTACAGATCCAAGAGAATCTGTATCATGGTCCTGCACATCCACAAGGAAAGCATGCAGTTTACAAAACAATAAGCATCAATTTGTTAATCATAAAAGTCATGCAAAATTGTGTGAAAAAAAAAATATTTTGTCATGTTGTCATTTCAAAAGAAGACCCAAGTTCATATTAAAGATGCCAAGGTTCTTAAAAAACATTTAATCAGACAAAAAAAAAATTCTGAATAAAAACAAAATCCATCAGTTTCCATTTTGCCTGCTTAAAAACTGTGTTATGATGGCATTTTAAGAAAAATATTCTTAAAATATTTTTAGCAATACTTAAATGACAGCCTTGTCAAAACTAACTTTTCCAAAACCACACACATCCCATGTTATTTCTGCCTATATCAAAGAATACTGACTATTCATAAAGGGACAGCCTCACCAAGTCTCAACATCAGAGATTCAAATTGCCATCTTCAACCCTTCGTTATGCCTCATCCACAACCCTTTATCCTCAGACTTTACTTACGCCGCATCCCAAACCCTTAATCATAGACTCTTAATTAGGCCTCATCCTGGATCCTGAATCCAGACTCTTATGGATATTTAAAAACCCTTATTAATCCCCAACCGTCAATAAGGTCTCTTCCTGGCTCAAAATTTTGCCTCATCTCCAACCCTTAAATCCCGGACCCATAATAATGACACACCCCCAAATCATTATTCCCAGCCTTATTTTGCTTTAATTTAACACAGTCTTGACTCATCTGTTTGTTACTTTACCATATATTTTTATTGTACTTAAATGTTTAATTAGAGTCTTTTGATAGTTGTACTAAAATGTTTTAATTATAGTCTTTAAACATATTTATTGACTGAAGAAATAAATTTGCAAAAAAGGACCATCTAATTCAAAGTATATCTATGAACATATATAATATACAAAAATGAACTTAATTTGGCAATACATGTAGTTAGATTAAAATATAATGATTTAGAATAACTTCAAAATAAATACTTAATAAATTACATTCTATGGAATTAGCAGAGATGTACTTTTTACATTTTGCCAAAGTGTGAACAAATACTTATTTGGATGTTAAGGCAATTCAACTCTTAACTACCATACAACACCAGGCTTTTCACACAAAATTGTCATTATAATGTAAAACATTTTATAATATGTAATTCTCCAAAATAAAAGTGGGGTATAAATAATCAGAAAGCACTTCAGAAAATGTGTGAAGCTCTATATAATTATAAAACATTTAACATCATACACTGTGAAGACAAAATGACTCCTCTAAATACAAAGCATAACGAAGCAAGACACTGCAAACTACAATAGTCATAATGTTGTGTTACAAGCAGCTACCTGAATCAGTTAACTTATTTATATCCTAATCTATACAAGAATACAGTCTTAACTTTCTATCTCTTTATTGACATTATTTTAGGCTTGATGGGGGTCTATCTGCTCTTTCAGGCACTGAGAGTATGGACCTCTGACATGTCACCATTCACATGTCCTTAAAGGTTATTTAGTCTACCAAAAGGTGACCTATAAATTTTGAAATTGTCTATATTCTCTATTTTTGTATAAATTGATAGGAATTATATAAGATGATTTTTGATGATGTCCTGATGATTGTGGACCTAATGTATTTGATGGAAGTTGACTTTACTAGTGCAGGATCACAAGGCAGTCAAGCATCAAGTGATATTTTTCATTGTTTTTTAGTTGGGTTGAACGTTGTACTAATATACAGTAAAGGTCATATGGTGACTTTCCAGCTTTACGGGCACAAACTGGCACCTGAGTAGAACCGCTGACATTCTGTAAGCTAAGCTGGGTTATAGCATCAAGTTTGATACATAATTATTGTATGTTTCAGTAAAGTCAATGAGAGACAAATAATTAAGCAATAGATCCAGAAACTTTTATAATGGCCCTTTTATTGTTATAATAAACCTCAAAATTAAACTATATTTTCAGTCATAATCTAATAAAACTTATATTACAATGGCCCTTTTATTGTTATAATAAACCTCAAAATTAAACTATATTATGAGAACACTTATAATCAGCAACACTGTTTAATACTCGCATGCAATACCAATTTGGCTTCTGTGAAGTTGTATTTGTGTATGTAATACATGCAGTAAATATGGTAAAATAATGTTTAACTTAGTAAAACACAAATGAGCCGCGTCACGACAAAACCAACATAATGGGTTTGCGACCAGCATGGATCCAGACCAGCCTGCGCATCTGCGCAGTCTGATCAGGATCCATGCTGTTTGCTATCAGTTTCTCTACTTGTAATAGGGTTAATAAGTGAACAGCATGGATCCTGATCAGATTGCGTGGATGCGCAGGCTGGTGGTCGCAAACGCATTAAGTTGGTTTTGTCGTGACGCGGCTCAAATTAACCTACAATGTAGTTAAATACAAAAGCAATAAACATGCTTCTTCTGTAAAGCTTAATATCATAAAAACAGGTAATAATTGAGGAATATTTCAGTAAATTATATCTTATTAATAAGTAGGTATATATTTCAATAATATTTTATTAAGGATGTAATTCAGGATACTAAAGTGATACTATTATTTAGTGCAAAACTTATCTGCCAAATTATACTGTTAAGAAAAACAACTGGTGCATTAAATTATACAGCAAGTAAAAGAAACAAACAAAAACATAAATGTAGATAGCATACAAATCACAAACAATGCTAAATGTTCTTCATCATCATTTTGATCTAATCCTTAAAAAGATCACTTCCATTTTCCTGTCCTTATAAAAATTTCTACAATTTTCCCCTTCTTTAAAATAAATTTCCATCATTTTCCCTTCTTTGTATTAAATTTCCATCATTTTCCCTTCTTTAAAATAAATTTCCATCATTTTCCTTTCTTTACAATAAATTTCCATCATTTTTCCTTCCTTTAAAAATAGATTATAGATTTCATTTCCCTAAAATATATTATATTTCAGTTATTTTCCATTCCTTAAAACAGAATTTGATTTCCATTATATACTCTTCCTTAACAAAAGATTTCCATCTTTTTCCCTTCCTTAAGTCAATTTCATCATTTTAGTGAATCCTTAAAATGGATTTGCATTAATTTCCCTCTTACATAGATTTCCATCATTGTCATTCCCTTTGAATAGATTTCCATCACGCCCCTTCCTTTCATTTCTGTGATTTTCCCTTCTATGATATGATTTCCCTTCCTTTAATAGATTCTATATTTCCCTTCCTTTAATAGATTCTATATTTCCCTTCCTTGAATACATTCTATATTTCCCTTCCTTTCAATAGATTATATGATTTCCCTTCCTTTAATAGATTCTATGATTTCCCTTCCTTGAATACATTCTATGATTTGCCTTCCTTTAATAGATTCTATATTTCACTTCCTTTAATACATTCTATGATTTTCCTTCCGTTTAATAGATTCAACATTATTGCAACTTAAATAAGATTAAATATTGTATGTTGAACATCTATTATTACAGGTGCCAAACTTTCTATGAAATAAACTAAAATATGCAATAAATAAATTAGACCTATTACCTGTCTAAAAAAAAACCTAAATAGTCAAAAGTTAAAACTTAATAGTCAAAAGATTGTGTACCAGTTGCATATACAAACATGGCAATATCTTGAAAGTAAATTTACTAGGTAAATTTATTAGTGACCTTTCATTCAAATTTGGATCTCATATATGAAAATTTTAATGATACATATAACACTGAAAACAATTACAGTATTTGTGTACTTACTACTCTAATCTAAGGCAAGTGCTTGCACTAATAAAAAGTCTACAATGTTTTTGACAGTTTCTCAACCTATTATGGTAATAACATCCCTGAGATATTTACATCTTCTTAGCATTCCTTAGAGACATTTATACTTCATGATCAAATGTGAATAGAATTTTTGTTTTAATTTTTGCTCATTATACCAATCTTTCTGCATTTTAGTTTTACAATGGCTTCCTAGAAAAAAAATCTCTTAGAAAATCATTTTTTAAATCATAAAATTTCTTGTTATAAAAACAAGCTGTCAAGTGGACTGCAAATCTGCTTATTCTAAGTATGCCTCATATTCAACAGTAGCCAAACAGGTATTACTATGTTCATAAAGGGGTATAATTCAGTACATATTTATGCTAGAGTAATGGGTCTTGATCAATGACCTTTAATTTATCCAGAAATTTAAACAAAAGACTTCATTAAAAATATATGCTAGAGTTATGGGTCTTTGATCTACAGCTTTGACCCTGAAGATATTTATGAGAAAACCATCAGCAGATATTGAGATATAAATTTGCAAAATAAACCTGATGGTTATAGTAGAATAGTTTTTCCTCTTTACTGATGATCATTTAAAGTAAATATAACAAATTATGAGGCAGAATGGTTTAATTAATTAATAAAGTTCTTAGTGAGATAATCTTATGAGATATGGTGAATATGGTCCTGTTTTTTTAAATTTTAATGTTGACATTCTAACATCTACATGTATACAACAAAAGTGCACTGGAGGATAAACAAATAATGTGAACAATCTAAAAGTATACAATGCATAATGACCACATGAACAAGTTTACTTGTTTATGATTTCATGTGTTTATTTTCCATATAATGTATCAGCATTGAACCATGTCTATTTAAGATTATGTACTAGATCAAAGAGTGTCATAAACTTTATTTGGTTGTTATGAGATAATATGTGTTTATTTCTAGACTGTTACACAAATGACATTGAGATAATATGTTTATTTTAAAGACTGTTAAACAAGTGACCTGATTTATGAGATAATATGTTTATTTTAAGACAGTGTTACAGAAGTGACCTGGTTTATGAGATAATGTGTTTATTCTAAGACCTTAACACAAGTGTCCTGGTTTATGAGATAATGTGTTTATTTTAAGACCTTAACACAAGTGACCTGATTTATGCAAAAATGTGTTTATTTTAAGACCACAACACAAATGACCTGATTTTTGAGATAAATTTGTTTATTTTAAGACCATAACACAAGTGACCTGATTTATGAGATAATGTGTTTATTTTAAGACCATAACATAAGTGACCTGATTTATGAGATAAATTTGTTTATTTTTAGACCACAACACAAGTCACCTGATTTATGAGATAATATGTTTATTTTAAGACTGTAACACAAGTGACATGGTTTATGAGATAATGTGTTTATTTTAAGACCTTAACACAAGTGACCTGATTTATGAGATAATATGTTTATTTTAAGACGGTAACACACGTGACCTGATTTATGAGATAATGTGTTTATTTTAAGACCACAACACAAGTGACCTGAATTATGAGATAATATGTTTTTTTAAGACATTAACACACATGACCTGATTTATGAGATAATGTGTTTAATTTAAGACCATAACACAAGTGACCTGATTTTTGAGATAATGTGTTTTTTTAAGACCACAACACAAGTCACCTGATTTACGAGATAATGTGTTTATTTTAAGACCATAACACAAGTGACCTGATTTTTGAGATAATGTGTTTTTTTAAGACCACAACACAAGTCACCTGATTTACGAGATAATATGTTTATTTTAAGACTGTAACACAAGTGACATGGTTTATGAGATAATGTGTTTATTTTAAGACCTTAACACAAGTGACCTGATTTATGAGATAATGTGTTTATTTTAAGACCTTAACACAAGTGACCTGATTTATGAGATAATATGTTTATTTTAAGACAGTAACACACATGAACCTGATTATGAGATAATGTGTTTATTTTAAAGACCACAACACAAGTGACACTGAATTATGAGATAATATGGTTTTTTTAAGACATTAAACACACATGACCCTGATTTATGAGATAATGTTGTTTATTTTAAGACCATAACACAAGTGACCTGATTTTTGAGATAATGTGTTTTTTTAAGACCACAACACAAGTCACCTGATTTATGAGATAATGTGTTTATTTTAAGACCACAACACAAATGACCTGATTTATGAGATAATATGTTTATTTTAAGACTGTAACACAAGTGACCTGATTTATGAGATAATGTGTTTATTGTTAGCCTGTAACAAAAGTGACCTGATTTATGAGATAATGTGTTTATTGTTAGCCTGTAACAAAAGTGACCTGATTTATGAGATAATGTGTATAAAACAAGTGACCTGATTTATGAGATAAAGTGTTTACTTGAAGACTGTAACATATAAGTAACCTTAATTATGAGATAGCATGTTCATTTTCAAGACTGTCACACGGGTTACCTGGA